TGTCAAGGTTACATGAGATCCTGAGACCTTCATAGAGCAAATGGGCACTTCCTTGCTCGGGTACAAGACTAGGGAAGGCCCACAACCTGGTCTGCAGATACACCGTGTGCATGGATCACATGGAAAGACCGTAATACTCGGTCAACTTGGGTTCTCTGGTCATTACAATCTTGGGATGAGATGACAGGACTGCCCCTACTCCTCTGAGCAAATATCTGGAGAACAGGGTTCGGGTATGGAGGGCCCTCCTTCTATACTCGATATCCCTCACGGGAACTGTCTTGGTTTAGGTTCTCGCTACCATCAAAGACACCTAGTGTGGACTCTATGGAGAAACCCTGTGTGTCCCCGGCTCCTACACGGATGTCACAAGTTGGGACGCAACCTACCGCTGGAGTACTGCTCAGGATGTGTAGCAGGCTCGGATATGGCTGCCGACATTATCAAACGGGACAACACCTGCTTCGGACGGTTGAAGCTAGGCCCTTGTTTTTTCGTTATATCTGCTCTCTGGAGTCACCTGTCGTGAGTGAAGGGACTTTACGTCTTGTCACTGTACAGTTCAATCGCCCATGCTTTAGGACTGAAGCATATACGTTATTTTTTACAACAGAGGGGTATAAAGTTTAAGGAACACAGTGAATTTGTTATCGAATTGTTATAGTTTGTTTTGACACATAATTTCTTTACCTTTGATGGTACATACTACCACCAAGTGCAGGGTACAGCTATGGGGACGTCTTGTGCGCCCTCATATGCTAACCTGCACTTGGGATGGTGGGAAGAACAAATCGTGTTTAGTGGCGATTCGAATGAATTTATTCGATATATTCTGTCTTGGAAGAGATATATCGATGACATCATGATAACTTGGAATAGTACCCCTAAAGTGTTCTCTAGATTTGTACAGTATCTAAATAAGAATGATCTGAATCTGAGATTCACTTTTGAGATGGGGAATCCTTCCCTTAACTTCCTTGATCTTACCTTAATTGCGGAGGTCTACGGTACCATCAAAACCGACCTCTATAGGAAAAGTACGGCCACTAATAGTTTACTAAATTGGGGGAGCTATCACCCGACCCCTTTAAAAAGAGGTATACCAGTGGGGCAATATTTACGCCTTAGGCGGAACTGCTCCAACATGGAAGATTTTAAAATTAGAGCCAAAGAGCTACGAGCAATGTTTAGAGCTAAGGGGTATCCACATAAATGCTTAAAAAGAGCATACCATCGAGCCCTGTTAACTGATAGAGGAGATCTTATCAGGGAAAATGGACCCCTTAGGAAGGATACTAACTCGGACTCTAAACAATTGAGATGTATTGCCACCTATGACGCAGGATGGGAACATGTCAAAAGGATTCTAACCAGATACTGGCCGCTACTTAGACAAGATGAACATCTTAAGGAAGTTATTTCCCCCAATGTAGCCCTAGTGGCACGAAGAGGTAAAAATATAAGAGATTTTTTAGTACACAGCCACTTTAAACAGTCGTCAATAGTTTCAACACATTGGCTGTCTAATAAACTTTTGGGAACCTACAAATGTAGTCGCTGCAAAGCATGTAATTATGTCTGTAAGGAGTCAAAGACCTTTCAAAACAGCTCCAAATCTGACATCTTTCATCCTAATTCCTTTTTTAACTGTAACACTAAGGGACTGGTCTATCTGATAATATGCCAATGCAATAAGCTATATGTGGACAAGACATTTAGACCTTTCAAAAGATGAATTCTTGAACATATCAATTCAATTAAATCCACTAGACACATCGAAACCTCAGTATCCAGACGTTAAAAATTTTCACCAAAATGACCACACTGTACTCAAATTTATGGGTATTGAATTGGTCAAGTTGGACCAAAGGAAAGGTAACCTGGACAAACTTCTTAGGAGACGAGAATGCTTCTGGATATACCGCCTCAATACATTGTCACCAGTTGGGCTAAACAAAGGTTTTACCTATTCACCTTTTATTAATGATCTTTAAAAGTGGAGTACAATTCCAATCAACAAAGTTCTGTACCTCTATTTGAGGTACAGAATTACACTGAATCAGGAATACAAGAGATGGTTTTTATATGATGCATTGTGCACTCTGAATTAATTTTTGGGCTTGATCCTGAGTCGGTCTGGTCCAGTTTTTACACCACGAATAACATGATAGAGTGGTGACGAGGTGACTAGACAGTATACACATATAAGTACGTCTAGATGGGTTTTCCAATCTATTAGGTACAAACGAGAGGTGACAAAGGTTATTTTTATTATACCCTGGTATATTCCCCTGGGTATGGCTTTTACTTCCGTGAATAGGAGGAGCTACCATCGAATTAGGGGATAGCTCTGTCCCGCCCTAATGCCGCCCCACTTCACATAGACGGAGCAGCAGAAACGATATCAAGGGTAGTGGTCAGTTAGCGATCGATCCGCCCGCCCCTCCCACACATGCAGATTCAGCAGTAGGGGTAATGATATGGGGACGGCACAATCCAGGATCGGCTAGCCCTTCCTCCGCCTCGCAACCTGATTGGCCGCGGGAGAGACGCGGGGAGGAAGGGGGAGGGACTTGTGCGTCCCGAACCCGAATGGCTTCCACCCCATTTTCGCAGCGGTCAGCAATGTGGGGGTGATTACAGAACGACACGGATTGGCCAGTGGGGCTTTTAAATTTGTAGGCAGGACAAGAGGTATTTTCATCCCCTGACGAAGGTGCAACTAGATGCACCGAAACGCGCGTCGGGTTTCTTTGGGCTTTTTTTGATTCACAATGGGAGCACTAGGTGTTTAATTTCACTTGATTTATTTTAATAGTTGGGAGCTTTCTTTCATCTCATTATTTTTTTTTTCTTTGATTTTGTGACAAGGGGCACCTGACAGCGTCTACCTTAGCATTGAGGAACAGCATAGAACACCCTTGAAGGTGTTTTTTAGGATTTATAGGGTTTTGATAGCTAAATGGTTTTCCTCCTTCTGTTTATTGTTCCCTAGCTGGTGTAACAAGAAGATTTCCTACTTCTATTAATTCTTGAGGCTGAGGAGTTTTAATGGAAGGAGCTATTTGCTACACTTTAGACCCTCTCATTGTATGCTGTTAAATTGTCTATTTGCTGCCCTATCAACTTCTGAATTGAGGATTCAGACCTTTTGACTGGATAAGTGATCAGATATCAGGGATTAGCTTTAGTGTGGAGCGCAGACTAATTGATTTATAATAGCAACTAGGCTCACTTTATAGAGCCTTTCATTTATCTTCAGATCACTAATATATACCCCTTGCCCTGCTATCCCAGCTATATAGGACTTTATCTAAATTCGACAATAAACTATATATTTTATTTTATTAATTTTGAAGCTCACTCTGGGAATAGATATAATGGCTGTATGTACTACACTTTAATGATTGAAGCTCCTAGCTATTTTCTGGATAACCTATATATCTTTAAATGTCTATTACGGACCTTGTAAAAAAACAGATTAAAAGACTTTACGTCTTGTCTGCATATTAGAGAATGCTATGTGTTCGCGGGACTCCAAGCTAAGAGGGGAGATATCCCTCTATAGGGAGGCCTTGACTTCGGTTCTCGAATTCACATTCCTGGGTCCCTTGACCTAGGGCCTACTCTGGGAGTTACGTGCCCGGACAATCAGGGGTACAGGGACCTAGGGGTCTCACTATATTTTACCCTATCTCGTAGGTGGCGTGTAGACCAAGAACCCCTACACAAATTTTGACAGGTCGAGCATGGAACAGGATCGTACAAATGGGTAATCTGATTATTTCACTCTCACTACAGCACGTGAGGGCTCTTCTTTGTTATACAGGTCCCAATCACCATTGGATCCGGACATCTTATCACTCTTAGACGATGATATATCTGGATGGAAATCTCAACCCCGGTTTACGTTCCCATCCTTATGAATATTTCCAGGATTCACAATCCCCAGAATAGTCGACCACCATTTCACCACAGAAGTTCAGTTTGGGACCTTGATTGGACGTCCTTTGGGAGTCTTTTCTCCACCGCAGCTGCGGATTACACAGTCCATTTGGAATACTGGAACCACTTAGCATACGGCTAGTTTTGACCACACTCTTGCCTGCATAATAAATTTATTCTCGGATGAGACAACTCACTGGGTAGGTCATGAGGGAACGAACCTAACATACTCGGTTCTATTACGGAATTGGTGGTGGACTCAGGCGCATTCCTTGAGGTTGGAGATTTGCCTGCAAGGCCACATCGCCTGGTTACCCACCCTGGCATGATAGGAGGAGCCACCTTCCACATCAAGAGTCAAGACATGGTGGAAGTTTCTTCTCGCGGCCCTAAGTCCGCTTACCGGAAAATGGCTAATAGGTCAGCTTGGCAGCTCATGGACCGGCTGCTAGGAAACAGGTCGCAACCCCATGTACAATGGATCTATCAGCGGATTTTTTTTTTTCCGTATTTGGGATGCTTCCTCAGCTGGCATCTTCATTGATCCACTTCTCGCAGTTGGAAGGTCCATTTAGGATTGCTCTAATATCTCACGGAATAGGTACCAGTGAAACAAACAACGTTGGATTTGTTGGCTGAGCTTCAAAACAGCAAATACGAAGCCTCCTGTCATGTTATAAAATTGTAGATTATGCTAGCTTTAGTGTACCTATAATCTTAATTTTATTAATGACAGGAGGCGAGTATTTCCCGCCCATTCTTATCCCTCCCTTGTTTAATTGTGTAGTTTGAGTTCATCAGGTACGTATGCAACTCTGCTTGTTGTCTCTCCTACCTGTCACTGGTTCTTATTGTCACGGCAAGGGTGTATAATTTATTATGACACTATGGAATATCATCTTTTAATGTGATTTCTTGTAGTAAATGGCACAAATTACAGAGATGCTATTGCTGAGGTCAACAGGGGTTACATCTTTTGAAGCTGGGACCCCCACAGAGGGCATATGACAGAAGGGGTAGTGTGAATGGCATAGGAATGTGAAAAGGATTTTACTGTATGGATGTGAAGTCTGCAAGGTGTGAGGTTCTACACTTGGAAAAAGTCTGAATGTCTCTTCATCCATTTGGCCTGTACTTTGTAAGTGGTGAGTAAATCTCTTTGATATGTAAATGCCATTAGCTTTGTTCTAGTATCATATCCAAATGAAGGACAAAAAACATTCATATTTACCCCACAGAATAATAATTAAGCCTCATTTTTGTTATATTTGGAATGTGACAAGCGCCATCTTCTAACCAAGTCCAAACATGAGTGGCCTAACTTGACCCTAGGGAAAGGAATTGTGATGTCCGTCCTATTGGATCGTGGGTGGGACGTGCAACATGTCTATGGAATGGGAAAATAATAACAAATTTGTAGATGCAATTATTATTTCTGTGGCAGGTACAAAAAAGAAGATAGAGTCAAATGTTTCCATTTGGATTGACAGTGGTCTGGAACAAAGGAGGTGGTCAGTTATTATTTCTGTAGGTACGCCTTAACTCCACCCCTGGGCAAGACTTGATAAACCACAGGGTATATATCTAATGATCCTGAAGGGTGTTGGTGTACTTGCTTGGGGCCAAGATCTAATTTTGGGTGAGTCACCATCTTTCCTTGCCAGAGACCCCCTGGACAGAAGTTGTACTTTGAAAACCTAAGTGAGTAATTAGGACTTCTGTATTTTATCCTTTTTTTTTTTATCTGTTGTTGGTGTAAATAATTTGTTTATCATATATTTTTATATGCACTGTGACTATCTTTTGCTCATAATAAATATTCATTTATTAAGCTTTGCCTTTTGTCTGGTTAAGAATCACGTTACCTGAAGAGACTAGTTAGTATTTTTATAATTCCTTAAATATTGTACTAAGTAATATTTGGTGGGTTTTATTATTGATTTACCTGGGGGACCAAGGCACCCCATTCATAAATTGTCTTGGTGGTGGCAGCGTTAAAGTAGTAATAGTTATATTATTATGTTTAAGTGTGGGTGGTGTTAAAGGGGGATTTTGTCATTATTTCCGGTCTAGTGCAGACAAATAGTGTACTTTAACCCTTTCACCACCACAACTACGTCACGCACACTCTTGGAGTAGGGTGCGTTGGTGACACTTATGTCTGTTTTTCATAAGTTGGGTTGGGATCTATGCAGGTTACGGTAATTTTGGTTGCTACATTGGGTACCTACATGTTTGTTCAGGGTACATTTCATTGGCTAACCAACCTGTTCGATTCTGTTTTTTCTCTCGTTTCAGTTTACAGTACATCAACACTATCTGGTTTGGCAGTTCTTCTCGGATGGTGGACATTGTTGTATTCATTATATCTAGGGCTTTGTTTTTTCCCCATTATATTTTCTGCCTTTTGTTTTGTCGCAGCTTGAAAGAGGAAATGATGCATGGGGAGGGGAGTTTTATAGTACCTAACTTTTTTCTGATTAGTTGTTTTTCTGTGCTGCTGTGGAGTTCTAGTAAAGAGAGACTTAAGCAAATACTCGCCTCCTGTCATTAATAAAATAAAGATTATAGGTACACTAAAGCTAGCATAATCTACAATTATTATGCAAATTCTATTTAAGTGTCACAAAGATTCAATATTTTGTTTTTAAGTTCAACTCATGGATGGCATTGTGTCTCAGGGCTGTTTTGATCACTGAAAACAATCTCGGACACCTGTGATAATTAGATTGCCAGGTGAGCTCAATTTAAGGAAAAACTACTAAAGGAGGGTGTTCCACATTATTAAGCAGAGCACCATTTTCATGCAATATGGGGAAGAAAAAAGATCTCTCTGCTGCCGAAAAGAGTGAAATAGTTCAATGCTGTAGAATATTGCATATTCTATGTTTCTATTGATTATATATATATGGATGTGTGGATTGACATAAGTAACAGATGGTATCAATAAGTCACAAGGCTTTCTTTGTCCGAGAGCTCTGGAATGTGGGTGTGGGGGTCTTGTCCTTATATGGCTAGAGTTATATGCTGACGTTAGTATTAGCACATCTATATAGTAACAGAGGGACACGAGGTCGCGCGCAGTCTCTGTCTTGGCTTGGCTCTGTACAACGATGTAACTCTCCCATCAGAAGTCCAGCAATTACCATCTGCTGTTGAATGTCCATAATCCTGTAACATCCTTTATGTTTTATTATGTATCCGTAACAAAGAATAAACCTGAAGAAACCGTAAGTCAGATTGCGTATTACTACTTTTCAATAATATAGACATATATTATTGTGGCGAGCATTTGGCCCAAGAATATATATACAAAAGACGTATATATATCAATCAACTGAAGATAAGAAGAAATTAAGAATCATCAACATTGAACATCCATTCATCTACATTTTTTACATTGGCTAGCCTGCCAGTCTTCTATTCAAGTTTTGTTCCCACTTCAAGGGGGGAGAGAGAAGAATCAAGTTACAAAGCTATTTTGGAACTGGGAAAACAAACTTGAAGAGAAAAAAAGAATCTAGACTGACTGTCATAGATGAACTGTATTTGTAAGAAAAAGAAATTTTTCAAATCATAAAGACTGTACAAGACTATTTTCTACAACTGAGACAAAAAGCACAAGATACAACGTGAAATCTAGAAGCAAGCACGTGGCAGAGATTGGCAAATTTCCAGATCCAAGCAAAGAACTGCGCAGCTGTGTGGATGAAGCAACGAAATAGACAGAAATAACTGATCTGGTGAGTAACATGGAATTCATAAATGATGTTGCAGAGAAAAGTAAATTGCAGTTTGCATGTAATAGCAGCTATTCAGAAGCTGTATTGTGGCAATCTTTCTACACACACTGTGAAATTGCCAATAGTGAAATTGACAAGAAATTGTTTGTTAATAAGAAAAAACAAAAGATCAGAAATGTTATGAAACTAGTCTGTACTTACAATGCATTGATTTGTAAACGAAATGCAGGTCAAGACAATTTAGAATCAGCAGATAAAGAAATAGATTTGAATGGGTTAACAGAAGACAAATCAGATTTAAATGAACAGTGTAACAATGTAACAGAGAGAACATTGTCAGAAAAAGTCTGTGAATTAGAGGATAGAGTTGAATTAAGAAATGATCTTATTTGCCAGCTTAGAAATGAAGCTAAACTAGTGTGTGTTAATACAAGAAAAATACAGGCACAGAATCTAATCCCAGAACCAATAGATACTGAAAATGTATCCTCACAGAGTGATTTGCAGAAATGCAAATTTCAAGACAGAACTGCAAAACTTAATTTGAAGATCCATGAACAATTAATGAAAATTGTGAAATGTATTCCAGTTTATGACACGTCAGTGGATGCATTCACTAATGCTGAAATGTTTGAGTCTAATTTAGACAAATACAGCCTAAATGACGAACAAAGGAATAGACTATTTCAAATATGGCTGCCGACTCAAATGGCATGTAGGCTGACCGCGCTTGTAAAATTTGAGGACAATGATGAAATAATATATGGAAATAAGCAAGACAGATTAACACAATTAATAAAATTAACAACAGGGAATGATTTTGCAGACACTGAAATGTTGGAAAAACTAAAACCACACAAGGGGGAGGATATATTTAGTTTTCTTGTAAAATTTGAAAGTGCATATAGACTTGTTGGTGATTTTTCTGAAGATCAGTTAATTAATGAATTTGTGAAAAAATTTCAAGATCTAGATCCAACTGCAATTGTGTTAGCAAGAGAAAAAAGCACTTTGACAGAAGTAGCTTTGTTCTTGGATAACTTAAGGAGGGAAACCAATAATGAAGGGGTTAAAATGACTTGTGGAATTAGGCTGAGAAAGAAGTGCAGATTTTACAGCCCTCCTTCTTCTTCTTCTTGTAGGACAGAGTGTAGAGTGATACAGACAGCTGAGCCCCTCCCAATTTATTCAACTAAAAACTGTAGAGTTGATAAAATAGGGCAGAATATAACTCCTAAAGTTATTTGTTTTTGGTGCAATAAACAACATTATTTAAGATCTTGCAGATATTTTATCCGAGATATCAAATCGAAAGCAAATGAGAAATTAAATTTGTTGATTGAAAATTTTGACAGAGAAAATACATGTGGAGATAAATCAATTAAAGCCTTTCCTTGTAAACTGATAATCAGACAAATAAAAGCAATTTTAGCTAAATCGAAATTAGGAGACAGTCAAGCAATGCAGTGTAACACAGAAAGTTATAAGAATCAGATAACTTCAATAGATATGATCAGTTTAGGGAATGAGCATGGATATGAGTGCCAACAGATGTACACAGGCTGATTCCAGAATTAAGAACAGCCAAGAATAGAGTTCTATGTTAGTTTGTTTTAATGAATTGTTAGTCTGAACTGTTTCTTCATTGTTTTTATGTGTGTTGTAAGAAAGTATTAGGTAATTAATTAAAATAAAAATTTACATCAAATTTGCAAATATGGCAGAATGAAATACAATCATAAAATGTATGTTATATTGGGTGTATGCGATTATACAGTAACTCCAATCATTTTACAGAAGGAAAAAACAATGTTGTTACTTCTGAGGTTGATTTAAAATCTTTGATTTAATTCATGAGAATGAGATTTTAATATCATGACTGATAATGGATTACTATATTTTGCAAAGCCTGGACATACATATGTTTCGACTATTTAGAAGACAAAAGTTTTGATAGAATAAAACCTAGATTTACAAATACATTTGATGAAGGAAACAATATATGTTTTTTGTAGTTTGTTTCATGTGACAAAATGGTGCCAGTATTAAGACAAAATGGCTGCTATTGCTAAAGTATAGTGGAAAACAATATTTTGTTGTAACATCTGATATGTGATTAGGTTATACCTCCAGATTATTAAACAGTTTAAAAGGGGGGTATGATTAATAAAATGTTCAGAAAGATTTTAATATAAAAGGAAATTTAAAGATTATACATCACATGGCATAAATGTAATGACCACTAGATGGTAGATCTCATGAGAAGAAATGAGAATGTTGTGTAGTAAATATAATTCAATGTTAAACTGTGTAATAATAATGAGATATAAACATTGTAAGCCATTGTATTGATGCTGCACATGTTATTTGTTTTAATGTAGGTAAAGCGTGACAGATCCATGTGGCAATAAATCAGGAAAGCATTCCTTCAGACAACTGGACATCGACTGTTGGAAAGAGACTTTTCATCTGATCTGCAAACTGTGATGGAAGATTCTACAGAGTTCATTTGATACAGAAGATTAACAGACTTACAAAGAAATAAAAGATTGACACTAACATAAATATAAATTCCTAAATATTAATGAAGAAGAAAACAGACAATGAAAAGTTATTTAACAGTTATGAGTTTTAATACCAAGAGAGACTACTTATAGCTAGATAACACATGGAGTACAATTATGATAGGATAGTA